GCCAAGAAGATTATTCTCAGAAAACAATGTCATTGCTCTTGTGGAAGTTTCATTGCAATGTGAGCTCATTTTCTGCATTGATAAATATAATGAAGCATTTGTAGGTATGCTAATCATTTCACAAATATGCCTTGATAAATAGAGATTGAAAGACTTTTAATGGGTATGTTCATGATATTTGGGAACAAAATGAAGTTACATGGGAAAAAAAAAATGGTTGAAAATCAATCAGTTTTGCAGTGTAGCCTAAGGTGGGTTGAAAAGTCATTGGCTTAGCATGACCAGCTAAATACGTGTGATTTAGCTTTTCAGAAGTTTTTTTCTACCTGAAGCCCCAGTTCAAAGGTATGTCTTCATTGAGCAGAACATCACTCAGGCTGCCTTTGGGGCAGTACTCTGTCACGATGGCAACATTTGGCACTTCTATACAACCTCCAATGAATTTGCAGAGATTGGGATGGTCAAGTTCCCTGTGAAAATCAACAGAAATCACAGCACACCAGCAGTTTTCATGGATGTCCCTCCTGCTTTTTGTAGGGTAACTGGAAAACCAAGTGCTTTTTCTCACAATGTAATGAGAAAAGTAAAACAAGCATAAGGAGATTTTGATCTGATGTCAAAACAAAGCTTGAAGAAAGAAGAATATTAATTTACAGTCACATTTGGACAGATCGTAACCCCTATACTGTAAAATGGAACAACATACACTTCTCAAGTTTCACTTCTTACCTAACTTTCTTTACTTCTCTACGTATGGCTTTGGACAGTGTGAATGCTTTCTTCATTATTTTCTTTATGGCCACCATTCTACCATCACTGAAACAGAATGAAATGCTGTTCACAGAGTTGTAGGCCAACATCATAAGCCAAACAGGCTACAAAAATAGATTGGGTATTTTTTCTACAGTGGACAGCTTCATATATCTAGAGATGAGGCACAGAATTTAGGTATGTCCACATGTGGGTGTAAACCAGAATATGAGTACATGACAGGTGACAGGGCCCTGTTTCTATGATAACAGAATTATTAGCATATTCAAGCATCCTTGATGTGTGGATAACTTTTGGAGCATGAGAGTGTTTGAGTGAGTGGCGGCAATCAGATGATGGATTAGCAGCAAAGGAAATGTCAGAGCTAGTAGAACACATACAGGAACATCCCTGCTATCTGTTGCTTCTGTCTACTGTTTTGGAGATCCACTACGGATATTTAACATCCTTTTGTTCTCAACGGGTGAAGCATTCTCAGTGATGAAGCAGCTAAGTTTGATAGACAGTTTTTCTTGGAAGAATGAAGGAATCTAGTGGAGATACGTGCAGGAATTTAAGTGATACCCACCATGTAAACACAGAGTACAAGGTCTGTGGTATAGCAGATGTAGGTGCTTCACCAGTGAGACTAAATGCCCCACTCTTACATTTTTCACCCATGATGACTGTTTCTGACCTTAATTCACATTTGAGGAAGGTGATGATGATGATGAAAATATCATCATTCAGAAAGAAGCAGCAAAAATGCTCAGTGTAGAAGATCTGCGCTGGACACAGAGTCCCATCAATGAAATGGCTGTGATTTTCCAGAACAGTGATCTATACTGAAAAGGCACCTGCTCTTCCAGCTGATGATCCTAAGTAAGCTCCTCTATGCTGCAAAGCACAGATCCTGCCCTCTGTATTCAAATAGTAGTTATTACTTTCATCTTTGCATACATTCCACCCATATCTCCTAATTATATTATTTTTACAGGAAAATTTGCTTTCTGAATAACAGGATATGGCTATACTGTTTGCCTGCCTGTGTAGTTACATGATGTGCATCTTTATAAAGGGATCTAGAAGGGAAATGCTGTGTATCTTCAGTCACATCAGCTGGTTTAAGAACAAGATTTTAATATGTGTTGCTGTACAGGATGCCACTCCTTAGTGTAAAGAACCTAGCTGTGCTCTGCCTGCACTTTTAGAAAAAGGGCTGCATAAAGCCTTGGTTTCAAATATGTTTGAACAGTGAGGGCCATTCATTAACAGAGGCAAGGCATAGCCTTATAACAAGTCCTGAAAAGAACAGGAAAAAATGATAACCAAAACAGAAGCCTCTCATATGAGATAACCACCATCAGCATGTGGTAGAGGAGTCAGATGATGATATTAACTTACTGGATTTGGCCTAGTAAGGGAAATTCAAGATTTTAACTGTCAACAGTAAAGTGTCAAGAACCATAATGCAATATGAAACTATAGCATAGTAGTTACTGCAGTAAATGAGCAATGTATTGACTTACTATCTCCCAGTCTGGGTGAAGTACTGTTTCCTGGACGTGTTAGCAGCCGCCGTGCAGGAGCTCAGAGCAGAGATACAACTAGCACTGGAGCCGCCGTGTACTGGGGGAGCACTCATTGTGCTGCCTGTTGCTGTCCACACTACGCGCTCTAAATGGGATGCGGGATGAGAAAAGGCACCTGAAGGTGTATATTACTTCCAAAGCAGACTAATATAGAGGATTCTCCAGTTCTTTGCTCATCTTGCGTAACGCTTAAGACAGAAAGCCACTGCATGGAATGTGACTGCCCCGTAAGAATGTAAAAAAAAATGACAGAGGTCATTCATTGCCAGGGATTTTTCCCACTAATCCTCAGGTTTTGATGTGAGCTTTGTTTCTGTGTTCTTGGGATGATCAGCTCTTGCTGCTACTTAGAGGATGAGGACAGAACCCAGGGAAACAGAGCAAGCCCTGTGCCATGCTTTAACAAGTCTATTTGGAGCTCCTAGAAGGCTGTGAAGTACAGGGATGTGGGAAGTGATTTTGACACCAGAGGGAAGCCAGAAAAGAACAACAATACAGTCAGATGAAAAAAAAAAAAATCAGTGATCACAACATAATTTTTTTATATTTCTGATGACCAGCTCAAGGTAACAAAATTAACTTCAAAACAAATTTATTGAATTCTGTATCATTCCACCATCTCAAATTAAAATCCATATTTAGCCAATTAGGCTCAGCATTGCTGAAACCTCTTAACTCTCCCTGGTACCAGTGTCCAATAAAGTGTTGCTGAGGAAGCTCAGCATCTCGCCTTGCACAGGACTGCCATGTTCCCACACCACTGTATTATCCATATGCAGTTCAAGATTGCATTGACGTTTGCAGCCTTTCTACAGCATTCCACACAGAAATATTTTAGAGATCCCTATGACAGCTTTGAGTGTAAGAGTGTGAGTTTATTCTTGATATATTTAAGCAGAACAAATTAAATAATATTTATATTCTAGAGAAATTAAGATCTCATTATATCCCTCATCATATTTTTGCAAATCCAGTTTTGCAACTTAGTGAGATTAATTATACAGAAGGATACATGCACTAATGAAACTGTAATTTATTTTGTCCAGGTCCAGAGGTTATCAGTTTTTTTGGGATAGACTTGTCTTTTTTAATTGGCAAATCACCATAAAAAAGAAGGAAACTATTTCAAATAACTATGACATCTAAAATTTCAATGAACAAAAATACCAGTGATAAGTTCACAGAGCTTACAGGGTTGAAATTTTACACTTAAAACACGAAGATGTACTTATGATTGAGATTATTTCTCAAAATTATTAAGGAAACTGATTGTAGTATCAAAGTGACAAGTTCCTAACCTTGTTTGATGCAGGTGAAGTCTATAATCCAGCTTTCATCCCAAAACATCTTCTGTTTCTGATATTGGAACCACTACAAAAATAAACCAAAATAACTCCTGATGTAGCCCTACCATCTTTGAAAGAATCAAGCCAGACCTTTTTTTTTTTAAATATGAAAGTTTAAAAATATCCAAACAAAATCTGATGTTTAAGCATCCATGATATATCTTATGAGCAACATTAGAACCAAAAGTATTAGTAATAGGCTTAGAAGAAGCAGCATCTAATAAGTATCTTAAAAATGGTACATTTTATATTCTAGAATCTAATTGCATGTCATATTTTGCATTAACTACAAACTCTCCATTATTGTCAGTACTTCTTATGCACAATGTTTGCATCTCATCAGCTGAGTGGTTTACATCACCTCACGTTGTGGAACTGGCCTGTGCTATGAAAGTGCATGACAAGAACTCAGTACATCCCAATGCCAAGACAAGGAGCCGTACACCGGAATCACAGTCAACAGAACAGCATTCATACTTTCAACATACATACAATAGAATCAGCCTCCAATCCACAAATGAAGTTGTATTATGTCAAATACTCTCAAATACTCTAGCATAAAGGATACTATGTAGGTATTCTGTGGCTACTTTCTAAGGAAGGCATCGATCTAATAGCTGATTTTCTGTAGAGCTGATATGCATAACTACCATAGAAAGTGTAAACACATGCTTTCAAAAGAGCATTATGCAGCTCTTAAAGCTGCAGTAAATGCCAAAATGTCAAACCAAAGCAGCATTTTACCATCATTATACCATTTTCTATAGGGTGGAATTTAATGTTAGGAATTATGCATTCATCGAGACAGCTAACAGACACTCAGATAGTATGCATGAAACATGGTGTGGAGATTGTGTTGATGTTTTGGTAGAAATTTATGACAAATATAGGGCTTACTGAATCAAAGTCAAGGCACACGATTTACTTAAAAAGATTTCTGAGAAAAGACACCTATATTTTGTATTGTAAAGGTATGACTGAACTAAGACCTATTAGCTAGAAGTGACCACTAAGCCTTCTACAGGCACTGATATAAAAGATAACCTCTTCAATACTTGAATCATTAAAGAAAACATTAACTTCACAGATGGTCCTTTTTACATTATATTAATTACTGAATTGGATAGAAGGATCTTTCCTTTTCACCTATAAAAAAAAAAAAAAATTCCAAAAAGAGGATGCTACTGCAGAAGTTAGCAGGAATAACTATACAGAAATGCAAGAAGAAAAAAATAAACCTCAACATCTACAGAAAAATAGCAGTAATAATAGGTAAATTTGCTACAAAACCTTTAGATAAACCTGTGCATGGCCAAGAAACTCCATTGCTCTTTCTAAAATGCCAGTTGTTTAGAACTGTCTGAACTTCTTATCTGTCAAATTATACTTTTCTACCAGATCATATAATTTTACAGGAGAGTAACTATAGACATTATCACAACTGCCCTGTGGATTATAAATGCTCAAATAATTTTCAACAATACTTCTGTTCCTAACTCACAAAGCCACACAGAGAGAAACAGAAAAGAGAAAAAAAACCAATTGTGATTCAGGCCTCCTGAAGCACCTTACTCAGTGGGCCCATCAGCTTTCTCCTGCTCGTTCCCTCTCAGTGCACTTGCCTACCTCAGATGCTCATTGCAACTGCAGTACAAAATGGAAAGAGAAGGAGCCCCTGAGGAAAGAGGAGACTATAAACTTATAGGCCAAAATCCAAATAAATTTTGTGCTGTGTACATAGTTATTATAATGATTACACAACTGCCATATTCACCAGATAAATCCTTGTTATGAAATTCAGAAATGTAATTCTTTAAGATTCAGACACAGAAGGAATGTAGATCCTCTTTCCGAGAAGCATGGTGAAGTAATAAGCCATAAGAGCATGCTGTCTCCTCTATATAGACATTTTCACTCAAATGTATCCAAAAGTACTTCTCTCATACTCATACACTCCTCTCTCCTCATTCCCTTTTTGTTTTCCCATCGTGAGTCAGTTATAATTGATAACTGTTATGCCAAATTAATCACTTTGAACCAAATTGGTTCAGTTACACTAAAAAAAATAGCCTAGTAAAAAGAACCAACCAACCAACCAACCAAAACAAAACAAAACAAGAAAAAAAAAACAACAAACCTAAACAGAAAAATAAGGAAGTTACTCTTCTTGTTATTTCTTTTGAGAACATCACAAGTCAAATGTTTTCCATTACAAATTGCAGTTGAGCTCTGAGATTTAATGGCCTCTGATGGAGCTAATCCCTTTATGAATTAATTTGTTTTCAAATTTGTTTCTACTTCTGGCCTCCGTTCTACTTCTGGTCTCCACAGGATTTTGACACAGTTCATTTCAGAATAGAGTTTTATTCTAAATTAAAAGTATTCTTACTTTACTGGCACCTCCTAGTTCCCATGTTGTGAAAAAGCTCTTCTTCTTTTACCATTATATATCTATCCCCCTGATATATTCTTCTTCAGTCTTCTCTCTTACAGGATGAAAATTTCTAGCCCAATGAGCTTCCCCTCATAAAGAAGCAAAAGAAAGTTTGTTTCCCTTCTTTCTGCTTTCTTCTACAGAACACAAGTTCTATATGCAGAAGAAAATAATTCTCTCTACTAAGAAAGCACTCCACTCTAATCAACCAAATCATAGAGAATGGATAAAGAAGAGGACAGAAAGGATACTTACCATGACTGTCAAAATGGAGCCAGTGCAGACTAAACATATTGGTAAGGCAATTGCTATCCTGGCATCAGCAGACAGAGGGCATTCCCCACAATCTGCTGGACAGATAGAGCAGCCTTCTTCTTCCTCACAGACGCCATCTCCACAGACTGATTAGGAAAGAAACATGTATCAGAATATTTTAAGGGAGTTTCATCCATCCACAAAGTTGTGTTCATATTTAAACACAGCTTGAGTTGTTGAGATGAGAAACCTCAGTGTACCAGAAAGAATACATTTTGGAGAATCCAGAGACAGCATCTCAGCAGTTGAAAGAATAATCTGAATTTTTCAAGTGATACAGAATCTCTCTGATCAGATTAAATTCTTAATAATGTCAGAGCCTTTCACATGTTTTGTGCATAAATCACATCATCACTATTCTTTTTCTCACCATCCATCTGTTGTTTTGTTTTTGTTTTTGTTTTTTTGTTTTGTTTTCCTGAGACTTAATGTTCCTCAAGGCAAGGCATTGTCTTTTGTATTATTTGTACTTTATTCAGCCCTTGAGATCCACAGAAGCAGTGGCCCTTCGTCAGCAGCAGCAGAAAGCACTAGGTACTACAGAACGAAACTTTGCAACCTATACTGCAAGGATTTCTTTTTCTTCAAGGACTTGTGAAATTTATCAGCAGTACCAAATGTGATTTAAAACAAAAGCCCTAAAGGACAAAAATCTTTCTCCCATGTCCTGAATGGAGTTTCAATTTTACCTCTATGACTAAACTAATGTGCTGTACTTCAGCCTTCTGAGACAAGCTGACAACATTTTTCTGTCACTATGTAATATATTATTTTTTTTTAAAAGCCTCAACAAAACAAAACAAAACCCGGTGTTAAAAAAAAATTTCTGCCTCAGTCCATTTAACTCCAGTGTTATTACCAGGATAATCACAGAAGTCACCTCCTGCCTCAGGGGCAGAGCTTGCATTTTAAATTTTTTTTCTGAAAAAATGGAGGCTTTCTGGAAAACTTAGCTGCAGCTCTCTTGAGATTAATAGCAAATTCTATAGTTAAATACTTCCATCTACATTGGGGTTGCTTTGGTTCTTTGTTTTTCTTTTTTCCATAATATTGGGAAATATATTCCCAAAATTCCAGAAGAGCAGCCAAGAAGAGTACTGTGATGACATTCCTATTTTGCAAAGTATTTTTCTTCATGTTGTGTGGTTTAATTTATTAAATAAGCCTCTTTAAAAATGTTACATAGGTAACAGAATTGTTATGGTTATTTCTGCTTCCTTGCACACAGCTATATTAAAGTAAATGAAAGACTGATGTTTTTGAGAGCAATTGAATTTTAATGTGAACTAGAGAACCAAGATGGGTTTCTACCTTTCCAATATGCTAAGGCAAGTTTGCTTCCCTTCAGATTGAAAAGTGTCCAGATCTTTACAACATACTAGCTGAAAGAATATTTTTGTATCCCCATCATAGAATCATAGAATTGTTTCAGTTGGAAAAGACTTTTAAGGCCACCGAGTCCAACAATCAACCCAACACTAACAAGCCCAACACTAAAATGTCTCCCTCAGCCCCTCTTCTACATGTCTTTTAAATCCCTCCAGGGATGGTGGCTCCACCACTTCCCTGGGCAGCCTGTTCCATTGTTTAACAACCCTTTCAGTGAAGAATCTTTTCCTAATATCCAACCTAAACCCCCCTGGCACAACTTGAGGTCATTTCATCTTGTCCTATCACTTGTTATTTGGAAGAAGAGACTGACTCCACCTCTCAACACCCTCCTTTCAGGCAGTTGTAGAGAGCGTTAAGGTTTCACCTGAACCTCCTCTTCTCTGCGCTAAACAGCCTCAGGTCTCTCCGCTGCTCCTCATACGATTTGGTTTTGACACCCTTCAGAAACCTTGTTCACCTTCTGTAGATGCACTTGAGCACCTCAGCATCTTTGTGATAGTGAGTGGCTCTTCTGCTGATCACTTGCCTGAGTAGGAAGGATATTGTTATTAATGGGCAACACATGAGCCAGATTCCTCCCTCTGGTCTCAGATCATATGCAAGAGATCCAAGGTGGCCTGCCACTGGAGGAATGAATAGACCAATGTATTGTACCTACCAAGGTAAACATCTACAGCCTTTCCCTCATCCACTAAGCAGGTCACCTTGTCATAGAAGGAGATCAAGTTAGTCAAGAAGGACTGCAGATGAGCCTTGTAGTACCTGAAGCCATTGGGTCATGGCATTTGACATTACCTATTTGACAAGAGTGCCCTTCCTACTGTTCTAGATGCATTCATTGGTAGAAGCTCAAACAATTTTTCAGATGTTCATTGTAAGAAGTAATTTAGGAAGGCTTGTGTATTTTCAGTGATAAGCGTGGGTAGGAGTCCCTTTTGCTGTTGGTAGCTATGAATGATAAAAGCGTTGAGATATGCAGTCAATAAATAATTCCATCACATCTTCATTTTATATCATACCTACTGCAGGAAGGACTGTGGTTTTTGCTTCCAGAGCAACTTGCATTCTCCCAACTCTGATGTGTGCGATGAGAGAAGTCACACCCACATGAACTAAAACAACCTGCCAAACAAGTGAACAAAGCAGCAAGCATCAAAACTTTACTTGCACACAGTAGCTACGATTATAACAATTGTCTAATTGTGGTGTCTTGCGAAAGAATGTGTGCATTTTTTCAGAATTGGGAAGGACAGATGTCCTTGACTGGGGAGAAGAACAGAAGGAGGAGAGACAACTCCTGTGGGAAAGGCAGGTCTGATGCCCCCCCAGTGTGTATTCTTTTCGTGAAGCAAGACTATCAGTCTATGCATTCTGCCATGTTTGCATGACCTGTCACTTCTGGCTGGGTAGAAGCTGCCTAATGGCCATATTAACCTGAAATACAATCCAGTCAGTAGTGCAATATATTGTTAGTGTGAACCTCAGATGGACAGATTAGACTATTGTCTTCCCTCTCATCCCTACTACTTTTTCTAAGTACCTAAGAAGTAGTACTGTGAAAAGCTGTTACTTCCAAGTTAAGTAAGCTGGGAATTGCTCATTCTCAGCCATAGATCCATCACTTGCTTACACACATAACACTGACAAATAAATGAGATGGGGAACACACACATGAACTGCACTAAACCACTGGCAAGTGAGCTCTCAAATGAGCAAACCAGTTAAAATCTTACACACAATAAGTGTACCTTACCTTGGCAGTCCAGTTTCTTTGGCTCATTTTGCCAGCTGTAGACAAAGTGTGAGTGAAGATCTGGCCATCATCTGGGATCCACGGACCACATATTCCTCCTCTACCCTTTATCAGACATACTGGTTATGTCAGTATACCCAGACACATTCAAAATTCTGTCTTCTCCTTTTTTACTTTCTTAAAACAACTTGTGTTCTCTAACAGCAAATAAAGTGGTATTTTATAAACAAATCTATTAAAATGCCAAAGCACAAGCAACATTGTTCTATGGTAAAATAAAAGATGAAAGAAGCAATTATTCCTATACTGAGTTAAAAACTCACAAATGTTATTTTTTAAAATACATGAGCCAAACTCTTGTCTTAGCTTGTAACTACAGTAATTCTATGAAACTAATACATTTCTTAAGGATTTACTTCAGGAATAATATCCCACTTGGATTTTATCACAGTTTCACTTTTGATACAGCCTTTTTTTATTATAATTTAGTGAGGAAGGAAGGCATCTCTTCTGTTCCTGCTTGCAGATTATTCACATAATTTCTCTGTAAAGCTGTGTAAGATGTAAACCTATTAAGATGTAAACCTCTCAGCAACTGCAACCATAGATTATTATTTTGTCTGCCTGAAGATTTTGTTTTGTTTTCTATTGTTTGAAAGGATTATCTGTCTCCTAACCTCAGATATTTCTTCAGGCACTTCTTTCAATGTACTGTAAGACAGAAATTGAATAAAAAGAAATGGGGTTCATGATAACCAAGATAAAAACTTATAAAAGTCATGACAGTGAAAAAAAAAGTCTCCTCTCAAATAATGGAAAATATCTGTTTTGAACTGTATGAGTGAAACTCATGGCCTTCTTGCTATATGACAGCCAACTTGCTTATTTTTAACTGAAATATTTACAGTATTACAGGAAAACTAGGTAATGCATATTGACTACATGCTTTCACCTTTTCCACACTTTAAATTCAAGCAGAACTAACTGTGAAAGTAAGAAATAATGGAGGTTCACTGCAGTGGTGGAATGTTAAGTTCGCTACTATGGTTCTAGACAAAAGTTTTGATGTGATGGTTCCAGCAGGGATTCCTCCTTTAAACCAAAGTTCTGGCAACAGCTAAGGCACCAATTTATAAAACAGCTCCTTAAGAAGGGACTGCCAAGAAGTAAGCTAGAGCTTTTGTGGAGACATTAAGCTCTCACTCAGAAGGATACATAAAAAGCTGCAAGTCGTGTGGACTAGGTTTTCTGTTACACTATCTGTGACTACAAAGAATGTATCAGATTGCCAGAAGGGAGATCAACTAGGAAGAATGTGCAACTACCTGAAGGTTATTATGCAGGGTAAGACTTACCTTACAGATTAAAAAAAAAAAAAAAAGGGAAAAGAAAAAAAAAATCCAAACAAACCAACCACACCCCAAAAGATGTCCCAGACTGTACGGTTAGAGTCACAACTTTAAATATTGACACAAAGAGGAACAGGCTCTTATAATGAGCCAAGCCGACAAGTTAAGAATGGATCCTGCTCACACTGCACAAATTAATTTTCTTACCCTGTATTTGGATTCATTTTTTTGCTCTGATCTAACACAGAAAAATCATTCCATCACAGGACATGTATATGCAGGCTTCAGTTCTGTAAGTCACAGCCAGTGATACCTCACTCACCTTCAATAATGCAAGGAAATCTTATTCAGGGTCGTTCTATAAGCTGCAGAGACAGTAACACAAGAATTTGCCCTTTTTGCTTTAGATGAAATGATCTGTCTGTCTGTGTCTGTTGAATCTACAGAGATCTGAGTCAAGTGACTTGACACTTAAACATAATGAGAGATTCTGAACACTGCCTTTTCCAAAAAGACAGCCATTTGCTTTGCAGCCTCAGCATCCAGCGCAAAAGACTTCAGAACTGACAGATATCCCCAGAGTGGTTTTAGTGAACTACAGGTTTGGTCTAACTGTAATCACAGAAAGACTGTATAAATTTAAACCTCATAACTACAATGGTGTGTCATCCAGTAGCAAGAACAGAAGATGCTGCACCATTATACTAACCATGAAGGCCAAAGGACAGGAGTGAATGTTGGCATGGTGGACACAGCAGTTTTCCCCATTGGCATCTTTCCAGTTGGCAGGACATTCATGCTCCTCACAGAACTCCTTTGCAGCAGTAGCATTGCTAGCCAAGCAGCAGAGAGAGAGAGCAAGTTTTATATTCAATCCTCATTTCTCAAAATTGCAAGAACATGAAAGCCAGCATTTTATCCTGCACAGAAAAATGAGCAGCAAAAACATGTGCAGTGAAATAAACACTGTTACACCATTTCTCTATCTCATTTTGCTTCTAGGTGAAGTGCTTCTTTAAAAGTCTGACACCGAAAAAACAAAAACAAAACACAAAACCAAACAAAACCCATCAGTGAAGATTGCTGTCAACTGCCACGCAGTGGGGGCTTCTGGCCGAAACTGTGCTAGAAGCAGGATTCAGTTTCCACTTCTTCCCCCGGACCGACTTCATGACCAGATGGGATTACTTGGCACTGCTACATCTGACACAGAAGAAGAAACCATTACTCTGCTTCCACTATCAGAAATATGTGTCCTGGCTACTTTCATTCTCAGTGTTTTCCATTATATACCTTCATCTATGCATGTGATTCATACATATAACTCAGCTCCAGTCTTTGTTCCACAATGGAAACAGCCAAGGAAAATAATTATATTGGACAGTAATATCAAATACAATTTCTAAAAACAAAAAATTCAGAGCAAAAAGTGGACTTTATGGGCACACTGTGTGATGCAGCACTTTTTCTCAGTTTCTTCTTATACTTTTGGTTAGCTATTACCCTAATAAATTGGGCTTTTAAATAAGGTAAGATTCTCAAACCTGGTTTACTCAGTAGATGTAGCCAGACTTAGTTGTAGGGTTTAGTTTAAATGTTGCAAATTTGTGATGGAACTCTATAAAGCAATGACACAACATCTGGATTTTGTTATTGGTTTGGTTTTAGTGAAAGCAGAACTAGCCAGTAATGAGCAGATTTAATACAGAATATGTTATAAGAAATAAACACAAACATAGGGGAACAGCTTAACATTGATTGTGTTCATGGCCAGATTTACAAAGGCATAGATGTACCTGAAATCTAAGATGAGCAAAATTGCCTCTCTCTACGATATCTAAACAGATAAAATATTAAAATCCATTGGTCTTTGAGCCCATATTGGGAGTTTAAAAAAAAATACTTAAGCAAGTTGGTACCTAATTCAGCCACCTATTTGACTTTATGGTTGCTTTTAAAAATGTATCCTGTATTCCTTGGTTCTTATTCAATATCTTCATTGTGGTTTCACCAAATTATGCTGGTGCCTATATGTTGACTTGCCAGTCTCAGCTGTAGTTGTCAGGCACTGTAAGCTTAAGAGTCAACCAGATAGTCTTCTAGCTAAAATCAGGTGCAAATTTGTTCCCATTGAAAAACTTCATCATAGATTTCTCTCTTTTAAAATACTTGCCATCTGTGTCTATGCAGAAGAACAGAAGTTTCCAAATTCTTTACTGATTTAAGGGACTGGGTCTCCCTGGAAAGACTAGAAAACCAGATTAATTTCCAAGCAGTGAAAAACCTGCTTTATAGTTAAGTTCTTAGAACTACTACTAGCTATAAATTTTAGAAAATCTGAAAAACATATTTAGCAAAACTGTGACTAAAGCACACAGATGATCAAAATACCATATCAACTTTTTTTTTTTCCATTGCAAATGGGTTATAGGTGATTTTTTAAGGTGAAAAAAAATACCTCCAGATAACAGCTTTTACAGTCTGAACTTTGCAATGTGAACACTCAGACTGGCAGAGAAAAATGTGAGGTTTTCCATAAACAACTGTTGCACTAACCAGGTACAGCACAGCAAGTGGGGAAATACAGCTTCAGCCTCTGTCCAAGGCATTGCTGCATAAAAATGGAGAACTGTTGAGTACAGACAAAAGCGTAAAATCAAGGTGTATTAGCCTTTTAGAGGTCTGGAGTTGTACACATGAACATTCTATATTTAACTTCTGTTTTCCACAGCTGCCAACACAGTCTCTGAGCTGATATATAAGCTTTTGACTTTTGATTTCAGTGCCACAGAAATTAAAAGAAGTTAATTACTGAATTCAGTCGATTCAGGCTTGGGTTAGCCTCTTCTTCATATCCATGTTGTGCACTGCAAAGACACTTAGGAGTAAAATGAGTATAAGACACAGTTAGTCTGAGACTTGTGCGTAAACTTGAGTTGTAAATTCCTTGTGTAGAAAAGACAAGAAGTGATGTTCAGAGTTGCACAGAGACAGTGATGCAGATACAGGGTGACGTGCTCTATCCTTGATCATGTGGGCAAGCATGCTCTGATGGTTGCTCTGACAGCAGAACCATTGCAGAGAAGTATCAGGGCAATCAGAGCTACAAGGGGCCTCAAAAGATGCAAGGAATTCATCAGGAGCCCCAGACTACATGTTCCAATTATGTTACCGGAAACACACACTCAGAATCCAAATATACTCATGACCATGAAAGTATTGTTATAGGAAGTAATACCTGTGAGAAAGGATTCCATTCTGCACTGCATATTGATAAAAGCTGTCTGAAGCAAAGACTGTGTAGGTCACGTTGAAGAATTCCCCACTCACAGCCTTTTCTGGAGGCCTTTGCACCCATGCCATTTCCAGCCCTAGAAACAACACAATCGTGGGCCAACATATTTGCTATACTGTTCTATTTTACAGAAGCATAAAAATGTAAAATGTTCTCTATAGTGATTTTCATCTGTTGTTCCCATTGCTTTTTATAAGCCTCAATCATTTATTTTAGTGGCTGTATAGGTAAACACAAACGCACATTAATTGAACAATTCTGATACTTGCTTAGAAATGATCAAACAATTGGAGAAATCTAAAAAAAAAAAATATCTAGTAATATTATCTAAAGTAACTTTGCTCCCAAAATAATGCAGTGCTGCTTGTCCTGATATATTCGCTTTCCTCTTTGATCAGGCAGATAAAAATTTCTCTTCCTTCTTGGCTGCTTTCACTGAGGCACAGCTCATTAGAGAAGAAGAAGAGACAACTCTAGCACACATGAAATTCAGTCAAACCCCTTAATCTCATGAGACATAAATTACATATACTAATTACTACATACTTAAGAAAGTATTCTGATTTTATAAACCCACAACGCATCTAAAGTGGAAACAGTGGAAAGACAGCTACGCAAATATTTCTACTTTTCCATTTCCACACTTTTAATGGGAAAGACAATTTATCCCAGTCATCTCTCTTGTACCTAGGACACCATATTAACTGCTTTGAACCTGGGAATGAAGTGAGATAAGAGGTGGGTAAAGTTTTTAATTCATATTCTTACCACTATCAAAATCTTCCTACTTCATTCACCTATCTCTTTCTATATTGTTGGATGAAGGTTTTAATTCACACCACATAAAATTAGTTATCTCATGCAAGTGTGTAGCTCTATGTTTGTCAGAAAGTCTTAAATCCCTTTTGCAGATGAGGCGTAAACCTGCCCTTCAAGAGATCCTCATTGTTTTGTTGTTATTGTTTAATGAGATTTCTTTTTATCACACCAGAGTTGTTTCTACAACTGTATTATTCATTTGCGCAATTAGCAAAACTGCTTTTTTAACCCTAAATATAATTCCCTTTGAGATATAAGGAAGCAACTTGTAAAATAACCTCTTCATTTCACATCTACTTTGAAAAGTAAAGTAATTTAAAAATGCTAACACTAAGAGAGAAACTACAACACAAAGATTTACAAAAAAAAAACACTACTGTGATTTTCACTAAAAGGTAAGAGAGCTGAGCTTCAGAGATGTGTGAGAACAAAGGCAGAAGGTCAGCATAAATTTCAGTTAAATTACTTTCTGCTTCCCTTTAAAGGTCTCACAAAGATAAACAAATCTCTTCTACCAATGACAGATACTCACACATCTAAATGCTTTGAAGATCTTACGTTAAATCCACAGCAATGAGGCTCAGCATACACCTCTTGCTTTGTTTTTAGCAGTGCCCAGAAGGTGACAAAGAAGAAACACAGAGAAAGGCAGGATAGAGCTTGGAGTTCATACTAAAACTGGTTGTAAAGGTCATATGTTAATTGAGCAACCTTTCCCTTGCACTCAGTTCACGCTTTGATTATTAGTAAGAACAGCTTTAAACAAGTAATCTGTTCTGATAAATAGTTGTTCCAAAGTTAAACCAATCATTAATTTATACAGGGATAAAAGTCTTAGCTGTCAATCATCTAGACAGTCTTTGAATTTCAGTGTTCCAATAGAACTCTTCGGAAAACGTTTAATTGCAACGTTGAGTTCAGAGTGTGAGCTGCCAGTATATTTCTTGGAGTGTTTTATCAGTATTACTTTCTCAGGTGTTTGTGTTTTTTTTTTTTTTTTTTTTTTTTTCTAAAAACCCTATTGAAACACATTGCCTCTGGTCTTATTTTTTAAAACATAAAAAAACCTGATCCCTTACATCAGAGTTACTGAGTCACAAAATCACACAAGAAAACTGAAGGCATCTCTGGAAATCATTTGGTCCAAGCCTGTGTTGCTCAAGGCACAGTCACCTAAAGCAGGTTGTGCTAGATTTTGTCTAGTTAGGTTTTGAAAATCTCCAAATGATGGAGAAACCGCAACCTTTCTGGGCAGTCTGTTCTACTGTTTGATCACTCTTACAGTACATAATATTTTTCTTCTATTTAAATAGAATTTCCCATATGTACTTGCTTTTTAATTGTTTTTCAATCTCAACTTCCAGCTTAAAAAAAAATCTATTTTTTATTATCTCATCATGTAAATTAATTTTTGAAACTGATCAGAACAAGTGGTTAAAGAGATCTAAGATCTCCAATCTCCAAGCAAAATTTTAAGTACTTATGGTCCACAGTTTTGAGCAAAGTGGAAAAGCATGATGCATAGAATCAATGATTTTGCTTACTGGCTGGAGGACTTAAACACAGTCCACTTCTGAACAGACACTACAAAATTTCAGGAATGATGCAATAGAATTTGCTGCAATGCAGACTAGCCTGCCTGCTTAGTTTGGATTAAGATGCATTTGGTTTTTTAATGAGAAATAAAATGTTTTCGGTTTCTTTCTGGGGGAAGGGATTCAGCTGTTGCTATTACTTTTTCTTTTGGAACTAATAAATGTTGAACAAATTATTGCTTTGAAAAAAATCTTTTGATCATTTCGGTCACTTTATTTCTCTAGGAAGAGAGGTTATCACTGACTTGGATGCTTCCACCATGCACAACATTTGTCATGAGTTAGATATCATTCTGAGTACTTCAATTTTGGGTTTTAAACCCTGCCCCCAGCAGAAGATGATCTCTCTTGAGCAGCTTTAGGACTCACTCACCTCCACAGTCCAGCATGTTATGCTCATCTGGTTTTTCCAGGGGCCAACAGTCATAGTCTTTGTTATCTAAATCATGCCACCCCCCCCCCCAAAAATCCCCCCTGCCATAAAAAAAAAAGTGCATATAAGCAGACTCCAAAAACAACAGTATGGGAACAAGGCAAGGATGAGTCCCATCTCCAGAGCTTGTATTTCTTCTAAAAGAAATCAAACCAAATGCAGACACACAGACTGGTATATCCAGAAGGAGCAAAAAATGATAGCTTCCTGGGGGCATACAAACTTGATCAGTATATCGTTTTGTTTTATCCAGAAATTAGCAAGAAACAATGAGGACTTAACTAATCCTTCTCTTGCAGAAGATTTTCTCTACAAAAGCAGTTAGTTCCAAGACCATATGCAGAAATACAGTAAATGTAAAGAGGTCTTTTGTTCACTTTTAAAATGGCACTCCTTCTGCTCCAAACCGCCTAGCTTCTTTTAATCATTTACACCTAAACTCTTTGAACAAGTCATTTTTGTTATACCTTTACTAACACAACTGTTAATTATAGAAATGTTAAAATATATAATTATAGATAATATTAAAATAGCATAAGCCTATTACAGGTAGAATACAACATCATACTGAACTGAAACACTAGCAGAATATACAATACACCTGCATATATATTATACATTATAATAGATATATTAATCATGTATTAAAAGATATACTCCAGGGTATATATGAACAGAACATGTTACAATAATGCACCCTGGTCTTGTTTCACTTCTGGCAGGAGGTAATAGCTTTTAAATCTGCTATCATTTTTCTATATATTATTAGAAGATAATCTTCTGCTGGATGATACAATTGCTTACCACAGTATTCATGGTATAAAACAGAATTATACAACAGCTTTTTCCAATATATTCTTCTATTACTCTTGTTTTCTACATAACTAAAATAACATTCAACAATTTCCTGGTATAAATAGCTGTCTTACTGCAATAAGCCACATACAGTTCTTTCCATATGCATGGACTAGAGGAATAAGTTCTGCTAAGTGGATCTATGTAGTTTACCTACCAATAAACTGAGGAGGCTTTGGAGCCGTAAGGCTGGTGTTTTGACAGCTCTCATGCTCTCCAGCACGCACCCAGCTCACCAAGTGTCGGGGCTGCTTCTGATGTTGCTGTTGCTACTGAACTAGAAGCCCTTGCTTAAGAACTGGGGTTGCTAGGCAAGCTGATCCTGGCAACTCCAGCTGCTGCAGCTGTTCTGCCTCCTCCTCCTTCTCTCTTCTCCCCCACCCCACAAATTCTAGGGGCAAGGTGGGAACACCTCTCTGTACCTCTGCTGAACATCTCTGAAAAATAATCACTTGTCTTAGGGGCAGCCTCACTCTTAGATCATTGAAGTCTGTGAACCTGTCAGCTCAAAGATGGAAAAGCAATGGGAAGATTTTTTTTTCACTGCCTTGTTGAACTTGGGCAGGATCTGGCCCTTAGGCAGATGAATTGACACTGTGGAAATAAACACAGAGACAGAGCAGGCCTGAGAAAGAGAGCTATATAAACTTCAAGGCAAGAAAAGGTCATCTATGTAAAATAGACTGTAATACTACAGGTTGGACTAGGTGAACTCCTCAGGTTCCTTCCAACCTGAATTGTGATAGACACTATGACTTCAATTTCTAAGTCCATAGAGGTATAGGACAACTTCTACCTGAGAAGTCCTGCTCTACTCACAGGCAAAACAGACCTCTCCCTAGTGATGCTGGTACAATAGGGACATAGATGTATCCATGACTAATCCTGTTTGCTGATGTAACTGCCAACATGGAACTTCAGTTGTGATTCAGCTCTCCTGAATACTACCCTGTGTTTTCTCTGGAATTCTGGCTCTTTGCCCATAGTGACATTAAGAATCTTAGTCAAATTGCTTGGACTTCACTATTGCATAAAAACTGTATGAAAAAAAAAGTAATGTATTCCCAGTTCATTTTGAAAAGATGATCAACTGGATCAACTAAAAAATCTGTTTGGATTCACTCATAAAAGACGTTTGATACAAATATTTTAGGTTAGAATTTAACATTTGTAGCAAAATCCTAAACCTCATTTGTGTTCTGTCTTTCTGTGCTTCACTATGACCATTTCACCCAAATCATAGGTTTCAGTATATGGAATCCTTTTGAGTTGGCTACATTTTAGAAGAAGAAGAGAAAAAAATGCCCCTTTTTTGGCTAGGATTATCTGCTTTAAAATATTCTACATATTTCAACAACTTGGAGAGGTTTTACTGGTGATTTGTTTTAGGATAGCTTGTGCTTAATGAGGAATTTGTTGGCAGGGAAGCAAAAGATTACAACTCTTTAGACCCTACAGCAGCCAAAAGATTACCAGACTGATCCTATTTCTTTAATAGGACTGTCAAATATTCACATGACATTAATATCATGATTCAAGAACCGTAAAGATCATACATTACCTTTATAGCTCCTTGTCTATCACCAAGTTTAGAGTTCCTGGAGAGTGGCCAAGTATAAGAAACTGGTCTGGGAATCCTGAATTAAAAATGGATGGATTGGTATGATTAGCAATTATATCTGATAGAACAATCTAGAATAGCTATTTGAGAAGCACTTTATAACCTCTGCATCTAAGTATTGGAAATTTTAACAAGAAAAACAGAGAGGACTATTTTGCAATATAAATATATGAACCTTGGTAAAAAGAAAGGATTGACAGCTTGACAACTCTGTACATAAAGCAAACCAGAAACTGATTTCAATAAAGTGAGATGGTCATCTCAAACCTAATAGTCTTTGCTTTATATTTGCTTCTTTTTTTTTCTGTTTGTTAGTTATAATTTGCATTAGAATCTTTACATTGCATCCTACTACAAATGAGTGTATTAACACAGACTCAGTCTAGCACAGATTTATTGAATCCTGCCCACTGTCACTTGAGTGGCTTAGTGCAATAATACAGTTCTCTGGCTTCTTCTCTTAGAAGGATCATTTAATGTGAAAAAAAAAAAAATAGGGAACTTCTACTGGTTGAAATGAAGTTTATCAAATAACTTTATGTTTACAGATTTATTTCTGTTGTGTTCACTGTGCTAAGGTGGTCCCTTAAGCCACATCATTTTTATTTCATTTGTTAACTCAGTAATAACTTTTACTATCAGAGAGAAAATAGAGATATTTTAAAGTTTTTAAAGTATAATTGTAGATATAGCTTAAAAAATGTATTTTAATTAATGTTTTGATAATAACATTATAACTAAAATGTAAAAATATAGTATTTGTAGAAAATAGTAACAGTGGTTAAAATATTGTTGCAATATTTTAAGCTTTCTGATTGGTGCTTTCAAGTATTTTAGGAAAGAAATTTTCAGCAATATACAGAAACAAAAAATACTGTGATGAAAGCTTCAAATATCCTTGAAAATATTTATTTGTTCTAGCTTTCGGAATTTCCAGGTTGTACTTGCCTGAACAAGCTGAAGTTCAAATAGAGATGTTTAAATTACTTAATTTTTCATGAGATAAAATCTTCTAGCAAGACACTTACTTTCAACAAAGAACAATCTCCAAAGACCACTACCAGGGTTCATTTGAAATTTCAAAATTATGGTATTCCAAAGATAGCATTTGTCAGAACTGTGTTGTCATTTACAAAATCAGTAGTTAAATCCTGAAGTATAAATCTCTACTGTGCAGAGTACGCACATCCCGCACGTGGGTCGGCACCTTCCTCAGTGCTACGCAGCTGCAGGCTCCTAGCATCTAAAGGGATGAGATTATCTGTCCTGTTCTCATTCGATAGCTCTAGCTCTAATAAAAAGCATTTTAAATGACACAGAATCTGAGTGCCTTCCTTGCTGGGATGGTAACGTGCCAGCAGGAGCCAGCTCTCCCGGGTGCCTGCAGAAGCGGGGAGCAGCACGGCCGGCGCTCAGTGCTACGCAGCTGCAGGCTCCTAGCATCTAAAGGGATGAGATTATCTGTCCTGTTCTCATTCGATAGCTCTAGCTCTAATAAAAAGCATTTTAAATGACACAGAATCTGAGTGCCTTCCTTGCTGGGATGGTAACGTGCCAGCAGGAGCCAGCTCTCCCGGGTGCCTGCAGAAGCGGGGAGCAGCACGGCCGGCGCTCTCTGACACCTCCCTCCGGTATCCCCGCAGCACAGCGGCAGGCAGGCTCCCTGCGCGCCGTTTGGTGTAAGGAGAGCCTCCCCTTCATCCACAGGCGGCCACACGAAGGGAGTTCTTAGGACCAGCGTCGCAGAGAACCTGCCTGATCTCAGCTTCTCACCCAGGGGTATGGTGGCAGCAGCTGGTGGTCTGTTCTCCCTCCCCTTCCCGACAGCAGAGGGGTGCCCTTGGGCAGCCACCAGAAATTCACAGGGCTCTGTTGTTTGGTGAAGTTACCACAGTGATCTCGCCTCCAATGAGTTGCCAAAACCATTTGTTCATGTATTTTTACCCTGCAGAAAGCAGTTTGTTGACTTGTTTAACAAAACCCCACAAACAAAGGATGTTGATCCTGTTTCCTAATACCTTGTGGACATAAAAAAAGTATGTTTCAGAAAAGGACTTCCATCATGAGCTTCTTGTATGGCTCTCACTGTGGTCTTGGTCCTCCAAGCTTTCTGCTGCTTTTGAGATGAGCTTGACAATTGGATCAAAACATCTTATCTGTTTACAACAGGTCTATTATTACTATTGTTAATTATTTGCTTGTTTATTTATATAATTATTATGATGCTTTAGTTTTAATTGAGTCAATGTTTTTTTCCCCCACCCTTGGTCTTTTCTCATCTGCCCCAGGTGCAAATTCTCATTCAAGCAACACGTGTAGTTCAGTGAGACTCAGACATCAGTTGAGCCTGAATTAGTAACATTAAATACTCCAGAATTTTTGGTAGTTGTTAATTAAAAGACTAAACATCATCAACAGTTTTGTAGTTGATCAGTAGATTCAGAATTACTGAGTGTCCTGGAACTGCTGAACAGGCACCAGGTGTGGGTCTGGTGAAAAGCTGGAGAGCTGCAAGCAAGCTCTTGGGTTTGCACACACAC